GGGGTGTAGGAAGTCTGGGAGTCTCTGCTTAGACTGATGCCCCCGCGACCCGGCCCCAGATAAGAGGAAGAAAATGGATGGATGGATGGATGGATGGATGGATATTCTAATGCTGTTTCCTCATCACAAACTGGAGTTGAGTTTTTTGTTTTGTTTTTCCACATGTTTAACATGTGCATGTTAAACACATAAACATGCACATTTAGGCTGAGCTCTTCTCTCAAACTAAAAACGCTCAGTTCCAGTTTGTGATGTCATGTGGTAATACAGGAAGTACTTCACTAGGTTTTGAAATTCCATAGATCTTCAGTTCACATAGAATCATTTACATCATTTCAGCTCTTGCCAATGAACTAAAATTAATAATAATAATGAGTACCTTTTTATTTTTTCCTTACATTTATTGCATATATACATACAAAATTATTATAAACATACATAGACCTAGAGCTACTTAGATGATTGAGATTGACACTGTCTAAACCTTTGACTGGATACTTAACATACATGACCAAACACAGCAGCACCTCCCACAGGACGCCAGCTCCTCCACCACAAGGACTTCTTCTTTTGTTCAAAGAAATAAACAGAACAAGTTCAGTTGAGAGGGGATCTGCTTTGAACTCGACTACAAGAGAAAATATGGAAATGTCTGTTCTATTGTGCTGTGTCGCTGCCTTGTTTGGGTTAAAGACATGATTTGAAGTGCCAGCCGTGTGGTACCAGTGTGTTCCAGTCTATAGTCTAGTGCTTAAAGAGACACAACAGCTCTGGCTTTGTTTACCACTGGATTTATGCAGTGTGGAGTTACAGGCTGCAGAAATAGCCCTGTGTAAAGCCTTGGAGCAGGGAGACAAAAAAACATGACGGAATCTCAAGGTTTGTACATGAAGACAGGATCTGAGAAAACTGTTGTTTAGAAAATTACTTTTGTATTCTTGTTACATAGAAACTTTGTGTTTTTTTCTAATAAGACACATTAGTAAAAAGCTAAATCTCTCATGTACCTGACATTTACCCGACATATTTGGGCAGCAGCACTTCCTCCTTTGTCAGAGGTGTCTCTGCTGTGATGTGTCTCTGATCAGCTGTTGTTTCCAGTTTGACAGATCTGACAGATCTATCAGACTGACCACGCCACAGTGGTGTTACTCAGATGACCGCTACGACCGAAACATCTTTGTCTTGGTGTTAATTCTCCTGGACTTTGAAATATACAAATCTTTCAGTTTCTATTTTGTAAATTTTATCAGATTTTGTTTTTTGTTTCAGACACTTGTCTGTGTTTTAGTCAGACATTAAGCTCATAAAGGAAAACATAAAAGATAAGTGAACTGTAGATGTCTGAGTTTCAGGTTTACAGAACAGTTAAACCAATAACAGCTACAGTGTAAAGATTAAGTTCAGTGCACAGTAAAATATTTGGTTTTAGTACTTTCATGAGACCTACAGTGTAATTCTCTATTTCTGTCATAGACTCGTCTCACACAGTATTTTTTTTAAGCGTTACAATTGAACAAAGTTGAGAATTATTGTGAACGTGTTAAATAAAGTTTGACTGACTTATCTAACTGTTGTGTTTCGTTTAATGTGCCTTATAGTCCGGTGCGGTTTATATGTGAAAAAAGTTTAAAAATAGACCATTCAATGACAGTGCGCCTTATAATCCAGAGCCCCTATGGTGCGCAAACTATGGTACATTAGAACACAGATCACAAAATAGCATCATATGGGCCCTTTAAGAGCTGTTCGGGTGCTCCTATAAAAATCTGACAAAACAATTTTGTTTTTGCCATTTGTATGTTATAAAAAGGCAGAACAAATAATGGTGATTAAATCAACATTTTCAGGTAAAAGGTTTCACGCACTAAACATCAGAATTGAAAAACACTGGGTGAATACAGTATTACATGTATGTAGTGGCCTACAGGATTATGTGCGATGTTTTCAGTTCTGTCTCTCAGCAAGAAGGTCAAAAGATCAATCCCTCGATGATTCACAATGATTTTCTCTGAGTCAGATGGATGAAGCTCCGCCCCCATTAACCCCTAGCATCACAGGCCACAGGATGAATGAATATTACAACACAGGGGCAACACAAAGAGCAATGTTTACAGTGAGACTATTCCAAATATTTCCCATCAGGGGTAGAACAAAATAGAGCTACAGGTTTAATCAAATCACAATCAATGCTGTTAGTAATTTGCAAAGACGGGCGATACACTATGAAAGTAACATCTGTAAAATAAAACCATAAAAGCTAACACTGAAGGGAGGAGCTAACTCCACTGAAACTACTCTGAAACTAACACACACACCTGTTCACAATTTGTGCTTGTTGGCATGGCACAAAGTAAAACTGTAGTTTAGGTTTAATCTGGTTTGGACTCTATGAAGATTGAAAGGCTTAATAGAATACGGTGAAACATTCCAGACAAAGCAACAACATCTCCATGGAAAAAAAGTATTTGACTAACTCTCCACCAGAAAAGTTACACAATGCACCTTTAAAAGTGTTTACTTGTGTTTTCTTCATATTCTTAGTTGTGCAGTACTCCTATTCTGGGTTTATCTGTATTGTTAAACAGTAATGTCTGTTTTTAAATGTGTGATATAAATAAACCTTGACCTTGACAATGTGGTTTCCTCATCACAAACAGACCTGGAGTTGTGTTTTGTTTCATTCACACATGTTTAACACACAAACTCTGTAGCTTTAGTTATTTTCTCAAAATTAAAACACCTTGCTCCACCTTGTGATGTCATTTGGTAATACAGGAAGTGCTCCACTGTGTTTTTAAATGTCATACCTAGAATCTTCAGTAGAATCATTTGGATAATTTCAGCCCTGGAATTGCCGATCTCCACTGAACTACAGGTAAAAGGAGCTGTTCACTTCAAAACTACCACTACATGACATCACAAGGTGGTACAAAGCATTTTGAACAGGCTAATAAACCAGGATTACTCAAACATGAGTGAATGAAACAAAACACAACTCCAGGTGTGTTTCTGATTAGGTAAGAGCATACACACACACACACAGATGTGATCTGCTCTGACTCCACCAGCCCTCATCCATCTGGACAACAAAGACTCATGGGAGAATGCTGTTCAAAGACTTCAGTTCAATATTCATCAGCCTAACACCACAACAACTCATCTGCAAACTCCACAAGCTGCTCTCAACACCTCCCTCTGCAACTGCTGCTAGATGTCCTCATCCAGAGTCCACAAGCAGAACGTGTTGACAACAGCACCTCAAGCATCATTGCTCTGAGCACAGAATCTCCCCAAGGCTGCGTGCTCAGGCCCCTGCTCTTCACCCTCCTGACACATGATCGCACAACAACCTACAGTAAGACACCGTGCACCTCACCTGCAAAACCACAACTGAGAGTGATGCAAGTCACCCAGCACACAATCTGTTCAGCCCCCTGTCCTCTGGGAGGAGGTACAGGAGCCTCTGTTCTTGCACCACCAGAATAACAGCTTCATGAACCAGGCTGTTAGGATGCTGAACTCTCTCCCCTCTATAACCACCAGGCAGGCCAGGTAACAGGAATCTGTGTCTCCCCAAGAACGCCTCCCCCACACACGACTCCCCCCCAAAAAAGACTGCCTTGTGCCCTGCACTAGATGCCTTTTGTACTATTTACCACCTTTTATTTATTTATTACGCATGGGATAATGAGAAACATTATTTCGATTCTTTGTATATCTTTGTATGAAGAATTGAAATAAACTTTGAACTTGAACTTGTTAATATGGCTTACAGCTCACAAGAGTCAGTTTTGTGTAGTAATATAGGACCTTTAAATGCCATGATGACAAAATGTGTGGTTCAGTCCTTTCCAGAGACATCTCTCTCCCTCTGTGTTTGTGTGTGTCTGCCTCTGTCTGTCTCTGTTTGTCTGAGTTCAAAGTTCAAGGACACAGAGTGGCGTCTGGGGTCTGATCCGTGATGTGCAGAGGTGAGTGTGTTTGTGAAGGAGCTCCAGTGATTAAAAGGCTATATTGATTTTAACACACAGAAGATTTAGTCGTGTATAGAGCGCTGTGGCCCCTTCCTGACCCTCCACAGACAGTCACTAAACAATTACAGGCTCCGGGCAGCCGGCAGGGGCAGCGACAGGGGCACCGACAGGGGCAGACATAGCAGACAGGGGCAGCAGAGCCATGGATTCAAAGGATTATGGGACTCATAGTGGATTCAGAAGTCTAAGAACAACAACATGAGTGTGTAAACAAGTTTGTAGTTTCATTAGAACTCCAGAAGATTCCAAACTCCATTTTCAGATAATGGATCTAAAATAATGATAAAACAGCAACAGTAATGGGCTTTACTGATGGAACAGAAATAGAACATGTTGCTAAAATGTGCAGAAATTTCTCAAATAGTTCGGTTCAAATGTTGTAATTGGAAACAGATGCATAATCCAGTTTGTGTTGGATAAAACTGCATCTGTTTTTAAGAGCGGATCTTTTTAATCCGTGGGAAAATAGATACAAATAGAAATAGATGCTGACTCCTACGTGTGGAAACAATTAGAATCTGGTTAAAAGATCTACAAAGATAAATACAGACTGAATGTGGAGTGTATAAAGAGCTTTGGAGGTCTTGAAAGGCGCTATATAAATCCAACACATTATTATTAATAAAAAGTGGATCGATTGAGTTTGCATGTATGTTTCCTTCAAGACTTTGATGAAATATTTTTTTCCAGTCGCACACAAAAGTATCATAACAACGAAAGCACAAACACTGACATGGAGAGGACACGAGGGGACAGTCAGCAAAGTGTAAACTCCACAGCCAAGTGAGAAAAGACTTCACATTCTTTAGACATACACGCAGACGAGAGGTTTTGTTATATTACTATTCTACAATGTCACAATTATTGAGGCCACTAAAACATTTAAGAGTAGTCAAAAGATGAAATCAAAAGTTCACAGTCATTTACAGTATGGCATCATCCTGTTACGTGGCAGTGACTGACCTTGTGCAGGGCGTCTTGTCTCTGGGGCAGTGAGGACAGCTGAGTCTCAGAGTGGTACTGACCCATGCCCTTCCTCAGAGCTCGCAGGTCACCCGGGTTACAGTGCTGAAAGAGAACAAACGCAGGACAAAACAGAGTTAGTTTAGATGATCCAGTGTACCATTGGTCAGATTATATTAATTCTACATCATTACATTAAAAATGGTTTGATTCATGAAGCAGAAATGTTGATCCAGTTGTTTAGACATAGTTTAAAGATCCATTGCAGAACTTTTAGCCAAAGATTTTGCATTAGAAAAACATTTATATTAGTGGTTTGGGCAGAAGGTAAAAAGTTAAGCACCCAAGAGAAGTGAAAGAAAACAAAGGTGACACTACAGACTGTATAAATGGACACTGCTAACCCGCAAGAAGTGAGCATGGAGGCGCTTCCAGCTCCATCGACTCTACATTGAAAAACTGTCACTCCTCTCTCTGTAAGTGCTGCACTGAACCTTGCCAATCCAAATATGAAACCTGACTCCAAATTCACCCCTAGAACTGCTACCCTGATGAGCTTCATTTGACTGGAGCAGAACGCTATGGGTCCCGCTGCCGTAGTCCATTTCTTTACACAGTCTATGGGTGACACAACGCACATACTTCAGTCTATTTTAGCACAAATACAGACTATGTAGTTGGTGAAAAACGTGCAGAAGGTTAAATCTTTGAGCATTTGTGGACGGAGATGTGTGTGCTTTACTCGCAGCTGGATGTTACTAAAGTTTGATATCTCTGCTTGTTCCACTGTGGTGAAGCTTCAACCAATCAGCCTGGAGCCCCAAACACTTTCAGCAAGAACCATCTCAGACTGTAGAACTCAGATAATACCAGACTGATATGAAAAACACTACAGTAAGTTAAAGCTCCACCTGAGCCACTGTCAGATCACAGATGGAGAACAGCAGGTGCAGTTATTACTTCACCACTTATCACTTTACCAACTAACTGAACAGCAACTCTACACTCACTCAAGGTCTGAAGTATGTATTTCATTGGAATGTGTAAAATAAAAAATAGTTGCGGCACATTTATTGAGAACACAAGAGTTTCTTAGGCAGCGTGCCTCACTGGTGGACTTTTCAGAGGAATAACTGAACACACTGTATTTGTGTGTGTTTGAGACCACATCATTTTCGTATGTTTTGTTTGTATGTATGAACAAATGTGTTGAGATGTATTGTAACTTGCTTGTGTAATTAATACAATATATATAATGAAAAAGATGTTTTTATTTTTATTTATACGTATATAGATGAACTAACTTTGATAAATTGATCAATTCAGGGGGATTTTCCAGCTGATTCCCCTCCAGTGACAAACAGTTCGTCCCCTCACTGTAAACATGTCAGTCTAAACGATGAAAAACTTCATGTTCATTATGCTCCTGGTTGTGTATCTCTGACATCGTCTTCCTCATCACCCCATCACTACTCCACCACCTCTCCACCGTCTCTCCCTTACCACCCCATCATCACCCCATCATCTCTCCACTCCATCTCATCTCACCATCACCACTCCATCTCTCCACCATCTCCCCCTCGGGCCTCTCATTTACAAATCTCATATTTATTTATCGTCCGTTCCTCTGTTAAATGGTCCTTTGATAGGCCCATCTCCACACAAACGCTTCCCCATCAGCGGAGGTCATTACGAGCGGACGGTGTTCAAGATGGCGCCCTCATTACCTAAAAGACCACTGCTTCCTGGGGGCGACCGTAGGACCAGTGTGTGTGTTACCGCGACAACAGCGCCTGACATTTCTGTAGTCACGCACCCCGATTCCCAAACACACGTGATGTCCGCAGGAGATGGCTATAAATATCCCAATGAGATGTGATGTGAGCGGGTGGGTGAAGGGGGGGCAGATGTGTTTTGTTGTGAATCATCTTTGGCACACAGGTGGAGAACGACAGCATATTACAGTTCACCCGTGTCTGCTGCCTAGTGTCCGTAATGCCAACATCAACAGTCTGGTTGTTTTGTCATTTTTAAACTAAGGCAGTAATGTTTGTCATTTACAAATCTGCATTGATAGGCTGTTTATATGCAGTGCCTTTTACCCCAGTGTCATTTGATTCTGCTGATTGCATGCTACAGTTCCAATAACACAGGACAGAATGAGAAAGCAAGTAGGGATTTTTTAAGAGAGGGTACGCAATTCATGACGTCATCAATGTGATGAAACCCCCCAGCACAGTAAGAATCAGTAATATTTCATGTTTTGTTTTTTTTTACTCAAAATTATGCAGAATCATGTGATTAATATTAACGCTGTTCAGAATCACCTACAGAACATAAATCATAGACTACAACACATGAACCAGGACTAAACCAGGCTTATACCAGAATTAAACCAGAATTAAACCAGGACTACACCAGGACTACACCAGGACTAAACCAGGACTAAACCAGGACTAAACCAGGACTAAACCAGGACTAAACCAGGACTAAACCAGGACTAAACCAGGTCTAAAACAGGACTAAACCAAGACTGAACTAGAACTGAACCAGGACTAAACCAGGACTAAGAGCGAGAACCCCAAGCCCATGGAGCAGGGTGTCCGCAAAGCGCGATTGAGGGACGGCTGCTCTTAGCCCTGTGGAGCGCGGAGCTCTGCGCCGGTCCTTTCGCCTACGGTCACCCGTCCCCACACTCAGTCCTGGTTTAGTCCTGGTTTAGTCCTGGTTTAGTCCTTAGGACAGTAGTGCAGATATCATGAGCCTATGCAGTTTGTTTTCACCAATGCCAACAGATCCGGTTTGACGTACCTCCGTGTACCCCAACGTATCCTGCCCACTACACCCTGACAATAACTAAAGATCTGACGTGACAGAATAACAGAAGTAACAGTACAATAACTTACGTAAGAGATAAGCCTGTGCTCGGTCAATCATATCATCTTTGCACTGTTTCCTTCTGACCTCTTGTATAGAACTGTATTTATATTACTATATTTGTTCATCCAATCAAATGTTCTAAAGTTCTATGATTTGGCTGATTTGTACATGGCTAAGTTCATGCACAAAGTCAAACATAATGAAATTCCTCTGTCTTTACAGGCAATGTTCCCTACTACAGAAAGTAAGTAAATATAATCTAAGGGTTTCTCTGTTTCAGTTCAAAAACATTTTTAAGAGAATAGCAATGAAAAAAAATATTTGAAAGAATAACCACAGTAAAGAGACTTTTGTTAAAATTAGAATAATTGTAATTTTTTTTAATTTTTATTATAGTCTGAGGAAGTTCATTTGGTCTTTCAATAATTTATGTTATTAGGTTATTTTTTCAGACCAAGTGAGCAGAGTTAGTGAGCAGTCGAAACTGTCAGGTATGAAAACAAACCCTTGGTCTGAAAAAAGCCTAATAACCTAACAACCTTTTTTGTTATTATGATGATGTAGTAAATGTTGTATTAACGCTGTATTAATTTTGTAGATGAATATCCATGAACATGCTGTAGTTAGAGATAAGCAGAAGACAATAAGCTTTAGCTTCTGCCTACACCTGTTCAATGAATTATTTAGTGTTTGATTTGATTGTTTTTCACGCTGAATATTTTATTTTATCACATCAGACTGAATATAATGTATGAAGACTGAATTAAATATTGACCAAATAAAAACACATGAACACACTTACTGTACATATATTTATATAATTTAAGTCTTGATTACAGTCTCTTGCTTTTGTCTCTGTCTTTTATATTACTACTTATTTAGAAGTTTATTACCATTTTTTTACTCTGTGTTATTATATTGTGATGTGTGAACTACTGCGTCCAAGTCATTTTCCTGTGGATCAATAAAGTTTGTCTCAGTCCAAGTCTAAACATTCTTCATGCAACCCAATGTTGTTTGAAGGTTTTAATGTTCAAATGTTGATTCATGTGATTTCATTGATTTAAAAGTCCTATATTACACAAAATGGACTCTCTGAGCTTTAAGTCATGTTCTAATGTTGTTATGTCTTCAAAAACAGACCTGGAGTTGTGTTTTGTTTCATTCACACATGTCTGAATAACTATTTATTATTAGTTTGTCTACATCTCCAAAGATCAGAATACTCTGATCCACCTTGTGATGTCATGAAGTTTTAGTTTTCAAGTTAACAGCTCCTTTAGTTCAGTAAATTCCAGATAATGAGCAATTCCAGAGTTCAATTCATTCAGTGATTGTAGTGAAGGTGTGTGGAGCACAGTGGAGCACTTCCTGTATTACCAGTGTATCACAAGGTGGAAAAAATGAAGATAAGACCTAAGAAAAAAAAAAAGATTGTATTTCTGTTAGAGGGCTTAGTGTACAGAACAATGTGAGAGATGATTAAAAATAAATCACTGTAGAGGCCTTAAAAAAAAAAAAAAAAAAAAAAAAGTGTAAAGCGTTATGGTTTGAAAGATACAGAGCTCTAGAATAAATAAATTATGCATTAAAGATTGTATGGAGGATTTTTTTGTTTGTTTCAAGTTGTCAATGATGGCGTTATAGAGATGCAGTAGCCTTGTAATTATGATGACCAAAAAAAAGAGAATAAAAATTCATCAACTCTGGACGTGGTGGGGCTAAATATTTGATATTTGAATAGATAACGACACTGCCTCGTTATCTGTTAGCTGACAGGCTGTCAATCAATCTCCCTACGTTTCTAGTGTAACTGACTTGCCTGCGCGCCGCCGGTACGTGGTTTACGTACACCTGTCACGCAGTCCACAGACGCAAGCCGCACAGACGCTGTTTACTCCACCAACGCAACAGTTCTTAGCGGCTTTTTTTGACCTATATCTTCCTCGCAGTTCGCACAAAGTTTGTTGCAATGGCGACAAGAATCCAGGAGCAGTTCGCCGCAAAAGAAAGTCCATTTTTGAGGTCGCTGAAAGAAGAAGACAAGGGGAAAAGCAGCGAAGCCAAACTAAGGTGATTCTTGAAGATTCATTCCAGCGATGGCGCGACTGAAGCAGACGAAGGGTCTAAAGACTGACGCATTGGTCGCCAAATTACTCCTGGACAGGTCACTTCTGCTTATTATGAAAACGTACTTTATTTCCAAGAGCTAGTCAAACGTTTTT